CCAGCCCTGGGGGGAGCCCCTCCATGGAGCTGCTGGGCCGTTTGCACAGCCTTGTGGCTGGCGGGTTAAACGGGCTCCTCCAGCAATTGTTCACACAGCACAGAAGTGATAAAGCCAGGATAATGAGGAGGAGAAAGAGCCAGGGTAGGCCTCCTAAAAACATTTACCCAGATCCATTTTTGCTGATGCACACAGGCTCCCATTTGCTGCCCCCTTCGCTCTCGCTGACCTCCTCTTCTCGCCGCGCGCTCAGCCTGCTCTGTTTGTCCTCCCTGCTTTAAAGCCAGCCAGGGGCCTGATTAACCTCGTGTGTGGATTGCCTGGCGAGGACTAATTACTTGTACTTCCTTCTGTAGCACTGAAAAACATGTTTTATACTTGCCCTCCAGACACAGACAGGACATCAGGATTGGGAAAAGGCTATAAACCAGCTCTTCATTAGTTTCTCTTCATTGTTACTGGGACAGGACCTTATGGCTCCACTTCCTCTGAGAGGGGGTTACTGAGACAGAATAAAATGCAGGTGCCCAGGTGCCCATGACATAGTTTTCCCCTGCAACCAACCTGAATAGCTTTCAAGAGGAGAGATCAGAGACTCTGGCTTTTGTAATGTCAGCATCCTTGTTAAACATTTAGCAATCGGAATTCAGCTGCAGTAATGCCTCCAGCTTTTTTGTTCAATGGACACAAATCCTTTAACAGACTTGTAATGATATTAAAGATGAATGAAGAACATACAATATTTAATTCCTTGTCTGTGATCTTTAGTGCAGAGCAGTTTGATCTGAGTGTTTGCTTATCATACCGAAAGCGAAGGCTTAGTAAATAAGAACAAAAATTCGGTGGGCGGGATGGCGGGGAGAGCAGGGAGCGGGCAGTTTGTGACAACCAGGGAAGGATGGTCTGGGAGGCTGCAGCTGAAGTACATCTCTTACATCTTAGAAATGAAGGCAACAACAAAGTCAATTGGCAGTGGGGGATTTCCTAACGTTCCCCTGATCAGAAGGATAAGGAAAAAAGGTTATTATATAAATCAAAAGCTTTACTAAAAGATCAGTCAAATGCAGACTCAGGGGACTGGCACTGGTAGCAAACATCTTTACACTGTCAGGTCACTCTGCCGAACTGGGTCAAAAGCAAGACTTTTATTAACTGAAGGCTGTTGAGAAGCAGGTGTGGATCAGATTAATGGTCTGGAGCTCAGCTGGCTAAGAATGGCCAGACACAGAAAGAGACAAAAATTAACCCCAAACTATTGACCAGGAGCGATGTCAGTGTGCAGTGTGCCTGGGAGAGGCGTCAGGCATGGGGAAGCATGAGCAGGCAGCATCAGGGGGGAGAGCTAACTACGGTCTGCCCTGACACTGACACTGTGCTAGGCTAGAAAAGGGAACAGAGAGCTGATTTCGGTCTGAAAAGCGGGTATTTGTTGGGTGTCCTCAGGAAACAGGGCCACAACACTCTGTGTCGGTACAGTCTGCTGACTAGAGAAAATGTCACGCAGTGGGTTGCTTTGGCTGGGTCAGGGGAGACTGGGCAGCATGGTGGCAGCGAGAAACACCGCAAGTGAAGGCAGGGAAATGTATATGGGAAGGACAAGCTATGGGAAGGACAAGCACATGATAGACCACCGTGGTATCACTTCCCATGGCGGTGTGAATCCCCTCGTTGCTCACTGGCACTTGAGGCTCTCCCTGGGAGGTGGCAGGCCACTTCCCACCAGTCACTGCCTGCGCTCTGGACACCCGTGATTTCTGAGGTCACGTTCATGAGCAAAGCCAAAGATAACATAATTCCTCAGGCATGTACTCTCCTCTGTTCCTAAATATCTTTTTCTTGCAAAATGTATGCAACCGCCTGTGTATTTTCTGAGCTGAGAGAGAGAAAAGTCCTGCATAAGGTGGAGAGAAGCTGCTCCTCAGCATAGGGATGTTTCTCAGTAACATTTGCTGCTCAGATAAGGCAATGGAGGTGGTAAGAAAGAATAGGAAGAGCTCTTTAATGAGAGTGAATGAATGAATGAAGAGATTCAGCTTGTCTTCCTTAGGAAGGAGACAGACAAATAACAGGAAAACGTATAGGAAAAAGGCATAAAAATTGTAGTGATCATTGCAACAGGATGTTGTTGAGAGCATTAATTTAGTGAGATTAAAAATTAGAATGGGTTTTTATTTGGCTAGTGAATTTGGTAAAAACTATATAATAGGTAGAAGGAAAGATTTAAGCTGAACTATGTTGCCTCTGATCTGAGATCTACTAACACTGATCTGCTATTAGAGATTCTCTGATTCAAGCTACTGGAGTCAGATGAGCTTCAAATCTAATCCAGCGTGGCAGACAGGGCACTTCCCGTCATCACCAATTTGGGGTCTGGAGTACCGTGATAATTCCTGTGTTCCTGCCTTTGGAGCGCTTTCATACCTCTACAGTGGTACTCATTGCCCGATTGTTACCTCTTTCCAAATCCAGCTCAGAACTGAAACTTCTCTACATTTTTCCCTAGCTTGCTTTTTCTTTTTTTACATGTTTTCCCTGCTCCTTAAAGGGCAAACCAGTTCGAAGTATTTTTATTTTTATTTTTTTAACAGTGGAAAATGTTTGTTTCTCAGTGTCAAAAAGTGTCTTCTGTTGATTATGATGGCATTTAACTTCAAGTACCTTAAAACCTCAGTACATTACACTTAAGAAAGGCCCATTTTGATTCTTGATAATCTGCAATTTTGGGGAAAGTGTGTGGTTGTTTTTTTTATGGTTTTGTTTTGTTTTTGTCCTCCCTTCCCCCTCCGCAGCAGTTCTGGTAAATCTCTCATCTATTACATAATTCATTATTTAGTAATTAAGAATATAACAATGTAACAATACATTCAGATTTGCTATCAGAGTACAATTGGAAATTCTTATTTTTTTTGCCTGTTGCAGAAGAAAGGGGTAGGTGCATTACAGCAAGGCCTGTAATTGGGATGAAAGAGGGAAGTGTTCTCAATCTATATGCTTCAGGGCATAATGTGATCACCAGCTGTAGTCAGAAGAGATCACTGTCTCTAGTATTTAATAGGACAAAATTTGTCACATTTTGATGATTAAGTAAAGAGGGAGGGTATGTCTTTGGCTAAGCAAGTATTGAAAAGAACATCACCAGCAAAATAATTTTTGATGTGAACTGAGTGTGTACATACGTTATACATTAGCTATCTGCCAGCTAATGAATTTCTCAACTTCATTCAAACTCAGGTTTTCTGAGAGTGACCATGAAAAGACAATGTTTAAAGTGAGCTCAGGCAGCAGTCTAAACATGATAGTAGCCCAAGGAGCCTGTCACTGCTGGTGAAACCAGCAGGAGATCACTTTTTGTAGAGTTTGGGGAATGTGAGCAATACAGAATTTCTGCCCCACGGTGTTTACTGAAAGGATGTTGGTTCAGACAGAAGATAACTTTCTTCACAGCAAATTGCAGGCTGCTTCCCTCTTCAGTCAGTAAAAGAGATTTTTTTCTGCTGGAGAACATGTCCAGGGAAATGTATGTCGAGAAAAGGAAGATTCCAATTTTATTTTATATGTGGATTGATTAGTTTTACTTGTAATCAACAGACACAGTACTATCCCACTAATTTGGAAGGGTGTCACTGGAAAACTCTAACATTATTTTTAGAGATTGAAGTTCTTTATCCTGTCCCTCTATCCTTCTGACGCGAAGGGGAAGGAGTGAGGGAAAAACATGAGATGTGGGAATTTGACTGGGCTGTGTATGCCATGAGAAGAGAAGGCTGTGCAAAATACAAATGAATGGCACAGACAGACAAGGATGTGTAAAGAGTAACCAAACATAAGGTATAAAACACCAGGGAAAGAAGAAAACTGGACAGATTACAGAATGAAATTAAGAGTGCAATAAAGTGATAAGGAAAGCAAAGGCTGAGAATGAAAGGAAGATTGTACAGGAGGGTGAGACAGATAATGAGAAATGTTTCCAGAGTGTAAGGGCCGTGAGGTCAGTGAAGGAGAGCATGAGGCCTCTAAGACATCACAAAGGTAATTTATTGTCAGAAAACATTTCTAAATGTAATGTATGCTGTGGCTTGATACTCACAAAAGGAGGACAGGGGACAGATGCCGCAGGCGGACATAAATTTCCCTGGGGAGGATGAAGAAATATGGGGAAGGGGGGAAGGAGTCAGGCTGACACAGGACTGCCCTGTGACCTTTGAAGACTGGCAAACAGTGTCAGGATGGGATATTAATTGAGAAAAATAATGTCTTATCATTGTGCCAGCTGAACTGATGGGACTGAAAGCGAAAACAGTCTGTCATTTCAGGACACTATTAACCCATCTGAGCTGCTTCTGTGCAGCATCCCGTGGCCTCATTGGTGCCCAATTTGTCTAGAAACTGAACTTGTTTTTTTTTTTTTGTCCAAATGGAGGTGAAAAGACTGTTACATGCTGCTGAAGCCACAGCTAGCTTTAAGTTGCTTAATTTATATGTGTATTGTTTTCCTGCAGTCCTGAAGCAAGGGGAAATAATTAAGTGCTGTGGGGAGTATGTATAAGGCAACGATGACCTCCCATGGTACTGGTAACCACCATGGCTTCAAGCCAAGATTGCTTTGCTCATTGAGAAATTACTGTGACTATATGAATGTGTATAGGAAACTCTCACATGGTAAGAAAGTAAGAAATATCATTCTAAACTCTAGTCAAAATAACTTAAACATGTTACATTTTGGTATTTGCCTTCTACAGGTGTTCCTGGATATTCATAGGAAAGATTTTTATTTTATTTTATTTTATTTTATTTTATTTTATTTTATTTTATTTTATTTTATTTTATTTTATTTTATTTCCAAAAGGTGTGGTGCTGGATTCTTGGCTTGTGCAAGTCAGTATTGCTGCAATGAATGAAAAGTGGAATTTGGTGCAATACTTACTCATTTTTCTCCTAAGACCCTTCTTAACTATTGTCTGACAATGTATAGTGAAGGATTTCTCTGAAAGCAGAGAATCTCCAAAGATGAGAGTTACTGGGTCTGCCTCCTGCACCAGGTGAGCTTTGATTTTTTGCAGGAGGCAGGGAGTGTCCTGGGACAGAATACAGCTGTGCTTTCTTCTGCCCAGCCACCTGCAGGTGTGCAGCTACTTGCCCCAGCCTTTCCACTATCACAAAAGAGAAGGCAACACAGTTAAGAGAGACACAGACGGCTCTTCCTTTTACCTGAGGCAGCTCAGACGAAAGAGAAATTCAGTCTGGAGTTGATAAGACAACAGGACTTTTTTCATATTCTTCACTGCACGTAGGTTGAGGTCATGCCACCAGGCTATGTAGCCCTTCCTTCGGTGAGTATTTCTTCCCAGGATTATTTGTGTTGCCTCCTGTGGGGTGACATGTGTGAGCAGTGAGTGCGTGCTCACTCATGCGAACAAGGATGATGTGCTCTGTCCCACAAATAGCTGTGTGATTAGTCATCCCTGTAGCGAGGGAAGTTTTAAGTCAGTTGCCTCGGTTGAAGCTAGCACACAATATCCATTCTCAATGTTGGTTGCCACTTACTTATTTGACAAGGCTTTTAAATTAGAAGCACATTTCCTTGGAGACCTCTATGGGTGTAACCAGCCCCAGCACTCTGAGAACACTCTCACAATCGCCTTTTAAAGCCCTGCTCACTGGTGATGTGGGCGAACAGAACAACCTGTGGTTTCACACTGCTTGATACTAGCTATGTGTGAGGCCTGGGCAGGTAGCAGGTAGGCCAGGCTATCCCAGTAAGTCAGGCGGGTACCACCAGATTGTAGGACCAGGCTCTGGAACTGGGTTGTCTATATGGTTAAATGATCAGAATAAGCTTTGGCTTGGGGTACCTACTATTCTCCAAACAATTCCCTGGCATGGCCGGGGGTTAGCATAGGCCAGAGACTATTCCCAGTAGGTGGTTTGGATGCAGCCACCCTGTTTCGGCAGCAGGGACTGTTTGGTAGCGTGGATGCAGTCTGTTTCATGCCAGTTGGCCTCAGTGTCAGAGAGTGGTCTGAGGTACTTTTAATTTACCAGTGGAGACAAAGCTTTAACTGTCAGTAAACCACATGGCATAACTGTCAGAGGATGGCACGGACAGCCTGATTTTTCTTTCATTCCAGACTTATATTTGTGTCACTTTATCAGTTTTAATAAATTAATTCCTCCTTTGCTTTGCTACAATAGAAAAAGAATGTGGCTGTGGAGATGGGTTTCCACAGAAATGTCCTACAGACCGGTGGTCAAAGCATGAACGTCCTCTTGGTCAGAGGTGTCACAAGGTACTATTGAATCTTGCAGTCCATGATAGGTGTTGAGGAGCTGAGTCTGCTTTTTGCTCCAAAGCTATGGGAGCTCTAATTTTAGCTAAGGGTTATTTCTTTACTACTGTGACAGGAAGCTCGAAAGCCCTAGAAATCCTAGCTTGAGTCTTAGGGATGTGGGACTCCCCAGCACGGCCTGCTACGGCTGGCAGCGGTCTGGGAGTACAGAACTCGTGGAAATGATGATTGCATCGAGCTTCCAGAGATCACTTAGGTTTGAAGCAGTTCAGTTATTCTTAAACAATTCTATTTTTCAAAAACGGAGGCGTTTCCTGTAGAGTGGAAATTCCACTTCTCAAGCTAAAAAGTCGCTAGCTGAGAGTTGAGAAGGAAATGAAAGGATAACAACTAAATTACGGATCTCCTAGCTGGTGTGCTAAGTCACTCAGCAGAGTACACAAAGGTGGAGCTCATAAACACTTGATAGTGCTTGATAAAAACAAACAAATAAACAAAAAATACCCAACTTGCTGGTAGCAGTTATGACTGTGTGGGTGGTTAATTTTGTTAATGTAACAAAGGAAGCAGACCTAGATGGGTTTCCGGGCCCTTGTCTATCTTAAAATTTCCTATGTAATCTCCACAGACATCTCCTTCGCTGCAAATATACTTTGGCCAGTAGCCTTGAGGTTTATTAACACCATGGAAAGTAATTATTGCCTTGTCCACACTCCCCATGGCAGTTATTGTTTAAGTATTTCCCTTATCCTGGATTGCAGGAAAACAATCCATTACATAAATCTACTGACAAACAGTTATGCTGCAGCAGCTCGAGAAGTGCAATATTCTCTCTGTGCTAATTTCAGTAAAACAGCACGTTTTTGTAAATGAGCTAATCCACAGAAAGTGACAGAATGTTACATTGCCGAGGCCTGGCTGAGCTAATAGTACAAAATGAAAGAATGTTTTCACTGCCTGTCCTCAGCGTTCAGTTGGCATAATAAAATACTGTTTTCCTCAGTAGAATATATGTCCTTCTACTTTGCTTCTCTGTCATAATAAATGACTGGCCTGAAATTAAATGGGTTGTTCCTGGACACAGGATGTTAGTGATGGGAAAGACCTGTTTGATCATGCAGGCCATCTCTTTGCGAGTACAATGCTCCTTACCTTGCATTTGGCGGTGCTCTTTCTAATTTAGTTTTAAACATCTCAAGCGGCCAACCTTCCAGTGCTCTCCTTACAGGTCTTGTGCTCAGCTTTGGGGTTTGGACTTTTAAGCAAAGACAGTCAGGTTACTGAGGCTTAATGAAGTAAGTAGCTCACTGTAATTATAAGCAAAAACATTAACCTGCCCCAACAGCAAAATATGGAAGCATAAATTGCAGCTAACGTAAGTAATGTGGGATTGAGAAGGTCTCTTCTTAATATGATTTGGTCTATGTCTGGGGTGGAATAAAAACTCCTAAACAGTCTTTAATGACATTGCAACTGTTGACTGAGGACTGGGGTAACTTGGTCACCTTTGCTTGTGATAGTTGGAAAGTTTTCTCTCACCGTTTCTCTCCCTGGTCTCACCTTACAACTCCCAGCTATATCCCTGTGAAGCATATGCAATCATTTCCATTCCAGGGGGGTTAATATCTTGGAAAAGTCTATAGACTGCAAAATGATGGAGTCATCATTTCCCCTCACCGAAGGGCCAAGCCCTCTGCTTTGCCAAGTGGTGACAGCCCAGGATTTGGCTCTACCTGTTCTCCCTGTCAGTCTGGGCCCTGCAACAGGGCCTTGATTCAGGTCTGAGAAAGGATGACAAATGTCACACTGGCTTGACTGTGGCTTACAGCCTCCTAAATCAGGGTTTATCACAGGTTTAAATCATGTTGTGAATAATAAAGGCAAAAATTAACTTCCATCTGGGAACGTGTAAGTCTTCATTGAGAGCCACATTGTGTGTTGTGAAATCTGCACTCATGGACCTGACTGTACACTGTCAGATTCTTAGGTCTAGAAGAGGACAATGTGTCTAGTTAGGATGAAAATTTAGAGGTTTTTAAGACAAAAACAAAAGGGGAAGATGAAATTCATGTAAAAGAAATGTGATTAAGTACATGTCTGGATATAAAAAGAGTCAAGAAGAAACTGAAATGGTTCAAACACAACCCAGATAAGATGGATTTTTTTCTTAGAGAATCTCCAATTGGTCCACACATGCAGGGCCACTAATAGGCTTTGCTGGCAAAGAGCACACCAGTCAGTGCTTCAGATTCTCCACCAGATCCGTCTCTGACTACAGCTGAAGCGCTCTTCCAGAAAGCTATGAACAGCCTTGACAGTCTGGGCTGCAAGGCTCTTGGAAACAGAGCAGTCTCATCAAAACTTTCTACACGCCAGTGTTTCTACTGCTGCTTTCTTTCTTTTTTATGTCTTCTCATTAATCTTATGTAACTGGAGTGACTCCAGAGAAAATGATGGAGATGCTTCTAAGTGAAACTCCTGTAAATGGAAATGAAACCCAGTCCCTACACAATTCTAAAACACTCATTCATTTTCTGACATAACTCTAATTGTAAAGCAGCATACTGTGGCAAATTTTAATGGAACCTGATACATATTTTTAAAGTTTTCATTATCACTGTGTGCATCACAAGTTTCTAGCAGGATGCCTTTGAAAAGGACAGCACATTTAGATGTCTGTTCCTTGAGATGACTGAGGACTTCATTGTTGTTCAGTGGCAAAGCTGCTAGCAGCCTATCTTAGGCTTCATGTTTTTTGTACATTAGGCCCCTAAAAAACTTTTCTGCCTGTTGAAAAGGACCCTTAAGCTGATGTACTGAGTGTTTTAACCTCAGTGGAGTTAGTGGCTGATCCTGTCATCTGTAAGGAACTGCACGGTGGCATTTACGGGACATTTAGTTTTATGCAGACATGTCAGATAACAAGTACAGCAAAAACTTGAATTGTTTCTTTCATTCTGGGGTCTCAGTGCAATTATTCAAAGCTCCTATGAGCCCAATGTGGGACGTTTAGAAATAACTTGTGTGATAAGTTCTTATCTTAAAACCACAGCAAACTGTAGAAAAACTATAAACCTTGGAGGTGATTACTGCAGTGATTTGGTATCCATTGGGAAAGTTTCTTTCCTTAAATCAAACTTGGTGTAACTTCAGTTCTGTATTTAGAAGAGCTCTGAAGTTTCTGAAGAACTTGTGGCAAAGCAGTGATGAATGCTTAGGAATGTTACCCTCTGCTGGGATTCAGGATCTGGCTTTTCTGTATGAAAACTCTTAGCTGTTTCTTAAAGTGAACTTGTTGACCTTGACTGTGTTATATTACCCATATGAGAGGACTTATGGGCTATTTTAAAGATCAGAAATTGTAAAATGAGCTTCTTATTTCCTACGGAAAAGAGCTTATTTAGCACTAGGTTATCAGCAAAGTCAAAGGAATCTGCTAAGGTTCTATCAGGGCTTTTACTGCATGCTGTCTTGTGTACCAGCTTCATCCTGGTCTCATTGGAGTCACAACTTTGGCTGGCATGCCACGGCGACAGATACAGTTTTCATTTCCATGATCCAAATATTGTGCCATCCATCTATCACATTGACAAGGCCTGGCCTGATACGTGTGCATGTCTAATACAAAAGAGGACTTCCCATATACTTAGTGTTGCTGGTTAGAAAACCAAAATGTTCTTGCCCTCACTTGCAACCTGACCACTGAAAAAAAATAATAACTCAGTAGCACCATTTGTGACTGCAACAAGTTAGTGAATCCATTGACAATTGTGAACGCAGTTGCCCCAGGCAACTACAGCAGGAATGACTGACAGCAGTTTGGGTTCTGACATTGTGGAGAGCTGCTATTGCAGACTTCATTGTAAATATATAAAAGGGTTGGGGGATAAAAACGACTCTTCACTCTTTAACTTTTTCTTTTTTTTTTTTTTTTTTTCTTCCCTTCAAAAATGTGTATGCCTTTTTTTTGTTTTGTTTTGTTTTTCTGTGATTTCTGGAGGAAGTGATCAGGGACATCTCAATGCACACTTCATTTTGTATAG